TCTACTGCCCCCTACGTGTGTGTCGGGCGTGTTCTACTGCCCCCTACGTGTGTGTCGGGCGTGTTCTACTGCCCCCTACGTGTGTGTTGGGCGTGTTATTGGCCCCCGATGTGTGTCGGGGCGTGTTCTACTGCCCCCTACGTGTGTGTCGGGCGTGTTCTACTGCCCCCTACGTGTGTGTTGGGCGTGTTATTGGCCCCCGATGTGTGTCGGGGTGTGTTCTACTGCCCCTTACGTGTGTGTGTCAGACGTGTTCTACTGCCCGCTACGTGTGTGTCGGGCGTGTTCTACTGCCCCCTACGTGTGTGTTGGGCGTGTTATTGGCCCCCGATGTGTGTAGGGCGTGTTATTGGCCCCCGATGTGTGTTTCGGGAGTGTTATTGGCCCCCGATGTGTGTTTCGGGAGTGTTATTGGCCCCCGATGTGTGTTTCGGGAGTGTTATTGGCCCCCAATGTGTGTTTCGGGAGTGTTCTACTGCCCACTTCCTGTGCACTGGACATGTTACTGCCCCTGTTGTTTAGACAGCGCAGATAAATAATCCCATGAAGAACCACCGTGGAAAAAGTGTAATCTGTGCATTCCAGCAGCACAGACATGGTTAAATTAAAGTTAAATTCACAAGTAAAGGGGCAGCATGTAATTAAATGAACATAACTACTGTAACTGGACTCTGGAGAAATCAAATGGCTCGTGCTTTTTTTTTTTTTACCCATGATTCATAGTCTGTCTATGCTATTGCCACAGTAGGCTGCCTGCTGAAGTAGTGAAAGCATGTACTGTGAATTGTGATCACCGTCTTCCTCTCGTCCTTCCCTTCATTTCCATTCCTCCTCTTTGCCAACATTCTCCACTGTCTGACAGCACACCAGTGTGCTAATGTGGGGGTTCTGTGTCTGCAGTGAGTCATTTTCTGGTTCTGCTTATTGCACTAAAAAGAACTTAAATTATAAGAAAACATTTTCGTTAACTGGAATAAAATTTGATTATTTTCATGCTAACAACTTAACAAGAAATGTAAATATTGCTTCCAAAACTAACTATAAAAAAATTGAAGCAAATTGAAACAAAACATTTTTTAATACTATTTAGACAAAGTAATGATTTGTTTATTAATGGTTTGTTTACTATTTATTAAACCTGGAACATGTTTTGCCCGTTTTGTGGACATACACATACAGTGCTTACAGAAATTCTTGGGACATTTGCTTAATTCAATAAAAAAAAAATCTAAATTTATTGGTTTCATAACGAAAATCTTTGTTCCTTTGACTGTTTACAAAAAATATATCTCATTAGAAACAACCAGTACTTTTAACTGAAACATTAATTTCAAATAGTTATAAATTGAAAACTAAATTATAATTTTATAAGAGCTCATTAGAAGTGTTGGGACAGATCTAGTTAATTTTTTGTTTGTTTGTTTATTTATCAGAAAAATAGCTCATACTTTGTTGCATATCCATTATTTTTAACATTAGCCTCAAGTCCTCTTGACATGGAGTGCACAGGTTTCTTGGTGCTTTCAGAATCAAGGCTTCCTCCATGTTTGTTTTGCTTTCTTTTAGCCATTTTTGGGCACATACAGACTTAATTTTTTTTTTCCTGAATTCAGCATATGAGAACCATCATCAGTCATGTCCTCAGTAATTACTATGTCTCCTGGTCCTGAGGCTGCCATCCTTGCCCATGCCGTCACCTTGCCAACACCGTGCTTCACAAGAGTTGTGGTGTTTTCAGGATCTTCAGCAGTTCCCTTCTTTTGCTACATAATTGCCTTTCCAACTGATGGAAAAATGTTGATCTTTGTCTCATCAGTCTATAGCATATTTTTCCAGAATGAAACAGGCTTTCCAAAATGATCTTCAGCTACACGGTAGTCTTGCCTTTGGGCTCTTGTTGCTGATGAGAGGCTCCCACCCTGTCCCTCGGCTATGGTACCGAGCTGTGTGCAATCTGTTCTGGATCATCTGTGTTGAGATGCAAGCATTTGCAGTTCTATGTTCTTGCTGAATTTGTGTTGCAGTTCTTTTACTATTATTCTTAGCAATGCAAATAATTTTCCTGTCATCGTTTGAAATTGTGGATTTTGGACGACTTGACCTTGGTTGGTTTAAAAGATCTCCTCTTTCTTTTCAGTGCCTCAAGGCATTATGAACAATTGATTTTGGAATGTTTGACATATCTGCAGTCTTCTGAATTTTCCTTTTAAGTGTCATAGTATTTTTTTTGACTGATTCAGCTTGGTTCTTGCCATTTTGTTATTAATTGCAATTGTAGTCAGTGGCTCACTAAACAGACATTATAAACAAAACTTTGGCATGCCAAAACTTTCTGTGAGCACTGTAGAATGTGCACTGTGTATTCATGTGGGATTGCCTAAAGATCAGATACATAAAATAGCTGTACAACTTCTAGTCCATCCTTAAAATTAAAACTGAAACTAAAATATGTAAAAACTGCATTTATTTATATATAAATCATAAAATCAATAATACCACACTGTAAAATAACACTAGACTGGAATTCAAATGAAATATAAGAATGCAAATTAAATTAGAAAATCAGAACTATAATAGCCATGGTTCTGCTTAATAGATACCCTAATTAGTGTCATCAGTGTCATAAAGTCATTTGTTTAACTGTGTAACACCTTCGACTGCGGGCACCTGCTGCTCTTATGTAAGGCGGGGGCACCTGACCATACAGGAGCTTACCTAAAGCGGGGGGTGTCCTGAACCAGCATCAGACTACAGTATAAGCCCCCCCCCCCCCAGCGAAAGACGTGTCCCGCTATACGTGGTCATGGTGCATCATTCTGGTCTTGTCAGGCTAGGGGGCGCCACCTCGCCGTCACTGACTCCTCCTCTCCACTCTGCTCTGCTCGCAGCTGAAGCTGAGCATCCTGCGGCAGGCGGGGGGGCTGGGCATCAGTATTGCAGGGGGTCGTGGCTCGACGCCTTACAAGGGGGATGACGAGGTATGTGTTTGCCTTTGTATGTGTGACTGAACCTGGGTGCTGCTTGGTGACACAGGACGGATAGAGACCCACTCCATTTTCCCTGAGAACAGAATTATGGCACCTGTTTGCCTGTGTACTGCTGGTGCATTCTGGGAGCCCTTTTCTTATAGGGACCCATTTTTCCAGCCATTCCAAGCTTTTGCCTATTTGAGCTTGAGAGCAGAATTCACACACATGATGCTATTTGTATCAAATCTGAAGGTTTTTCTAAATCACGTTTCATATCCCTGCTCCGTTCCTCTCCTGCTCCAGGGAATCTTTATCTCCAGGGTTTCTGAAGACGGTCCTGCTGCTCATGCTGGCATCAGAGTGGGAGATAAACTTTTGCAGGTACGACCCACTGTGCTTTAAGGGGTGTGGCCCATTCTGCTTTTTAGGGGGTGTGGCCTGCCCTGCTTTTTAGAGCACATGGCCCACCCTGCATTTTGGGGGCGTGGCCCACTCTGCTTTTTAGGGTGTGTGGCCCGCTCTGGTTTTTAGTGGTTGTGGCCCACTCTGCTTTTTAGGGTGTGTGGCCCGCTCTGGTTTTTAGTGGTTGTGGCCCACTCTGCTTTTTAGGGTGTGTGGCCCGCTCTGGTTTTTAGTGGGCGTGGCTCACTGTGCTTTTTAGGGTGCGTGGCTCACCCTGCTTTTTCGTGGTGTTCTCGTTCTCTCATTCCTGCTCTTACTTTGCTCTGGCTCCCATCAGGTGAACGGTGTGGATCTGGACGAGGCGGAGCACCAGGACGCCGTGGCGGCACTGCGTAGCTCCAGGACGGCCATCACCATGACGCTGCTACGGGAGCGCATGGTAGAGCCAGAGAACGGCGTCAGTACCACACCCCTGCGGCCCGAGGATAGCTCCTCCCTCTGCATGCCATTGGCCGAGCCCCGCCCTTCTGGTGACCATGAGCGCGTCTCCGCCTCCATCGTCCGTGATGACGTCGGCCTGGGCTTCTGCATCGCCGGGGGAAAGGGCTCCACGCCGTATCGCCAGGGAGACACCGTGAGTGGTCAGAGTAAGGTGGAGTGGGGGGGGGGGGGGTGGGCATATTTCTGGCACAATCATGGACAAATGCTTAATAAGGACGCCGGTGACATGAAACGTGAAATGCCAACGGACTCTGGGGGAACTCGGAATGCAGTGTACGCAGACGGTAAGAATGGTGAACATCCACACGTCTCTGTGAGCTTCTGGTACCCTG